GCGGGTTTGTCCCAGATTGATACGGAGACTGAAGCTTTGTCAAGGAAAAAGAAAGATGTGGATGAGTCTGTGGCATCGGAGGAGAGAGGGGCAAAACTCCGTGAACTTGTCAGTGTTTCAGCAGACGAAGCAAATGAATATGAGGAAGTTATTAAATTTCGAAAAACACTCATGTCATATGTGTCAAAGACTAGAGAAGAGAGAGCCAAGCTTGTAAGTATTGAAGAGAAGCTTTCTGAGGAAGTCCAGAGGGTACAGGAGGAGGTTTCCAGTACCCGAGAGTCACTAAAGGTTTGTCTCTACTTTCTCTTCTTCTACATTCTTCGCTGCAACATAATAGTAGATATAAATCTTGTTCCATTCTATGCACAAGGAAGTATATCTATAATTACTTATCCACAAAGTGTATATTATGGAAAAGTCTGGTGCTACATGTTTTAACAGGTCATTTATGCTCTGAAAAAATGCTTAATGACTGTAAAACAATATGGTATTGAATCTTGTAAATGTCATTTTGCAACTTCATTGTACAGTTTTAGTTATTTTCCATTAGTATTTTGTATAAGGCCTTATTGATCTCGTCTCTTTTCTTACAGGAGCAATCTTCTAGAAAGTCGATCATCCAACAGAACATTACATCATTCATGGATAAAATTATGTTCATAGAAAAGGATGCCGGAGCTCGAAGCAGAGAAGAAAGTGGCTGCCTCAACGAGAAATTTCAAAGAAGCTGGAAGAATCAGCAGAACTTAAGTCCTTAAATCTAGAAAAAGGATAAGATACAGATCGAAACAGGACAAGCTAACGCTGAGCTCGAGAAAGCAGAGCAGGAGATTGAAGGAACAATCGAGAGGCTACAAGAGTTAGAGAGGTTGATTTTGTCGAAAGAAAAAGAATTGTCTGTCAGTAGATTCCAGAGGTTGCGGAATGACAGTGGCACTGCAAAAGCAAAGAGATCAGCTGCTCTGGAGCTGAAAGATCTGGAAGAAGCTAATCTTCTACTTGAGGAAGCACATGAAGCAGAGTCCGAAGCAGAGAAGCTTAAACTCACATGCGGTCTCAAAGAAGAAGACGAAGAAAAAGAAGAGGCTAAAAAATGTTTTGTCTCGATGGAACTTATAGCCACCTTTGGTCTGAAGAAACTACAAGAACTCGCAGAATCTGTTCCGTCGTAACTCTGAAGCTGCTTCAGGTTCAAAGTTGGGACTAAACGTGTTCAGAGATGATCAAGGAAAGGATTTAAAAAGGCGTTGTTGATGAGTCCACAACGTTTAAGCTGATATGCGTTAGTAGACATCAACATGTATGGTTTTGTTTTTCGGATCCGTGTTTGATTGATTTGTTAATGAAAGAAGAGAGTGGAAGCTTGTTCAAGCAATACACTTGTAAGTTGCGTCCAAACACTTTGAATACATTTTTTTGTACAAGAACCGAACTCATGCTTCTGTTTGAACATTGGTTCAGATTAAAAGAAAATCATTGTCAACTAACTATGGTGGACTAGAATCCACACAAAAACTACTTCACTATCTTAAGCATATGCACGAGGAGGAATGCTCGAGCAAAGAATGTAGGAACAAGTTATGGAGATAGAGAGACTAGGCTATTGCAGACTGTTTATCATCTTCAAGGTGTAACGCTCTAAGTAATTTTAACTATTTATAAGGGCTTATAAATTATTTAGAAACCCTTATAAGTCATTGATTAAGGTTTACGAATCCTTTATAAGAGTTTATAAATCATTTGTAATGATTTATAAACCATTTATATGTGATTATAAATTATTTATAAAGATTTATATATCATTTTTACAGAATTTATATATCGTTAAAAGAGTTTATAAATCATTTACAAGAGTGTATATATCATTTATAAAAATTTATATATCATTTATAGAAGTTTATAAATGTTTTATTAACATTTATAAATCATTCAAAAATTATGTATTCAATCTAGTAACAAGCGAAAGTTTAGATCTTCAAAGAATTCTACGTGTGTCTTTTGTGATTGAAAAGACTTTACATTTTGATGTAAGGAAGTATCTCAAACCAAACACAACAATACCAATAGCCATAACAAACAATTTTATTCTATCTCGAGATAAAAAAAAAACGATCTAGCTCTAATCAAAACAAGAACTGAACTCAATGAAAACATAAGCAAGAACCATTTATAAGTTATTATTAGTTTCTAAATCATTTATAATGGTTTAGTGGTCATTTATAAATATTTATAAAATCATTTATAAATTATTATTAGTTTTTATAAGGATTTCTAAATTATAAAATTATTTTAAAGTCTTTGTAAGTGTACATTAAGTTTCATAAAAAGGTTCTATAAGGGTTTGTTAAATTATTATAAGGTTTATGAAACCATTTGTAAGAGTTAATCTATGAAAGTTTATAAATCATATAATAAGGGTTTAATAATGAATAAAAAATAAATTTATAAAGATTTATAAAGAACTTCTAAACCCTTAAATTAGTTTATAAGCCTTTATAAATTAGTTTATAAACTCTTCTAAATTAACTTATAAACCTTTATGAATCATTTTATAAGCTTTTTATACATTAACTTAGTAACCTTATTAAATTAGTTTATAAACCTTTACAAATCAGTTTACAAACCTTATATAATGATTTTATAAACCTTTATAAATTAATTATAAGTTTTTATAAATTAGTTTATACGCCTTTCTAAATGAGTTTATAATCATTATATAAGTCATTTATAATCATAGTTCAATAATTAGTTTGTAAACCTTTTTAATGTCATAGAATGATATGTCTAATTTTCCATAATCCTTCTAACTATTACGAATGACGTGTGCATCATACAAGAAAATAAAGAAACATTGTAAGAGTTTGTAAAATAATTGTTGGCTGTTGTGTATTCCCTCCGAGACTTATAACCTACTCTTTCTGATTATAATATTAGTCTTTAGACTTGTTTGCTTAATCTTGTTAATAGCTTTATCTATCAGAGCTAATAAATCTATTTTCCATTGGTTATCAAAAAAATTTATAAGGATTTCTAAATATATTATTAAAGTGTAATTCATTTATAAGAGTTTATAAAACAAGTCTATAAGGATTATAAATAATTTATAAATGTTTATAAATCACTTATGACTTAGAAATCATTTATACACCTTTATCAATAGTTTATATATATTCATATAATATGATTTATAAACCTTTATAAAATAACTTATAAATGATTATAAGAGTTTACAAAGAGTGATGAATCTTTAATAAAAATTTTACAACGAAAATTTATAAGAGTTTATAAGAGTGATGAATCTTTTATAAATGATAGACAAAGGTTTATGGACTATTTTCAGAATTTTATAAACCTTTTTATAAATTATTTAAGAATTAACTTAATCGCTTTTAAGGGTTAATAAAATCATTTATATGGATTAAAAAGCATATTAAAACATTATTGATCATAACTCCCTTTTATTTATAAGATTTCATAAATCAATTCATATGAGATTATAAAAAAATTTATAAGGGTTTATAAATCAATTTATAAGAGTTTATAAATCAATTTGTAAGAATAACATTCAATTTTCAAGAGAAGTTTGGGTCTGAGAATGTTAAATTTTTAGAGTGTGGTTGCTGGCTATGTGATCAACATCATCACTCCTCGCCTGCTATACAGGTACGTGTTTGTGACTGGCTATGTGATCAACATCAGCACGTATGTCTTACTTGTCAGATTGGTGTTCTAGTGACACTACTGCTGCAGAAATACATGTACGTTTTAAAGAATATGTGACTGGCTGAAACGATCTTTGCGGTTGTTCTTGTTGTAAATAGAGATGATTTGTTTGAAATGTTTATTGCAGTTACGACAATCTTTCACTGGACCAAGACATGCTTTCTCTCGAATTACAAATGAGCTAAATACCTGAGTCAAAAACAATCTGCAAAACAACAAAAGTGACGTGTTGAGATGGAAATGAGCGTTCCACTTACTGCAACTATCCAAAACAGCATAAATATCTATTTAGATGCATGTCTCTCCACTCAGAGTATTCTCCTGAACCGATTGAGCAGCTTTCTGAAACTTCTCAATTGAAACTTCTCAATACCCTGCAGTGAGAATTGTTGGAAACATGTCATCAAAACAGGTACTGTACTCACATGTCCAACAAAGAGTGTATGTGGAATCATGTCCAACACAATTTTTTTTCTGAATGATACTAAAATACACGGTTTTCACTGAAACTAATAGGAGTTGTTTCTCAAAACATCAAGTTTCATAAATAAAAGTAAATCAAGCACCCACCTTTTCGAACTCTTGCAAAAGCTTGCCTCCTCCTCTTCTAGTATCTCAGTGATCTTCTTCTCGTGTTCCTTCAACTCTGAAAAGACATCGCCCATCACCCGGATAACAGAGCTTACAAGTCTGCAGGGTAAGCACAAACTATCAGTGTTTGGTTATAATACATGACTGCGAGACTGCCATATTCTCTCCAATATAGGTACAAGAGGAATCAACTGTTGTTGTTTCGTTAGACCATCAATCTTCTGCAAAATATAAAAGCTGTCTTACATTTTCCTCAAGAGAGTTAGAGTGTAATGTAGATAAGCTATGAAGAACAAGTTACACCTTATTTTTGAATGGTTTCATCTAAGGAAGTGCCTGTGACATTCATTGAGACTTACTGTCTTATATAAAATAACCATCCAAGAAAGTAAAACTTCAAACTCTAAATCATCAAAATAGTTATCTTCAAGAACCGGCCACTCTGCAAGTTTTGTTTAGAGACTGAAGAAGATTTTGTTACCTGATTTCACTTAGCTTTGCCTGAGTTCTTGTAAGTCAAATGAAACTCTGAACCGGAGCAGACAACTCTAGCTCGTATGCAGCTTGGTAAAACTCTGCGGCTTGCTGTGATAAGCCTTGCATTTTGGTTCACTCTGAGCTGAGCTGGTTCACTCTCAAAGCTCCACCTTTTTATCAAAGAAGAAAACAACAATCAGCATATGTTATGCACTTCCACTTGAGTTAAAATCCGAGTATAGAGAAAAGTAAAGACAAAGGCCAAAGCTTGAATCCCTGAATCCTGAGAGACAAGCTAATGATGTACAAGCACGAAAAGCAGATGCATAATCCGGTTCTGGTTCATGTTCAACGTGTGTGCCGCTACTGAATGAGCCAGTCCCGAGACTCGTTAATTGTGGCGTTCGAAGCATTATTAGCCTATGAAGCTCTTCAAGGGAAACAAACCTGTTGGTTCTAAGCTTTTTCAAGAAGGGAGACCTAAGCACAATCCCCTCCAAGGCCTTGAAATTGATAGGTGACTCCACACAGTCAAAACACAGAGACTCCAGATGTGTGGTTTCACCCTCGGGAAAACAAGAGATCCAATCCACCTCGTCATCAGCCACTTCAGACTCGATCAGATCAAGTACTCTCAGCTTTCTGAAACAAATCAATAAAAAAAAATGTAAAACTTTACTTTTCAAAACGAATCTCTAAGAGTAAAGAGAGATCTATAGACAGTTAACCTGCACTTTTTGGCAACAAGAGCGAATACCACTAGTCCCAAAACCTTCACAACAAAGCAAGACAAGCCCCTTGAAACCAGGAAACGACTCAGCGAGAAGAGCCAAGTCATCATCAGTTACAAACATCCGTTTCAAACAAACTTTCTCAAGCCAAGGGTAAGCCTTTGCTGCTTCAACAACCCAAGGCGTGAACTTAGCTTCTCAATCACGAGGCATGAGGTTGAAATCTGCAATCGGCGATTGTGAAATAGAAACCGCCACGATTTTCACCGACGAACAATGGAAAACGAAATCGCACCATTTACTTACAGTGGCTGAGCCACTGGGATCATGAACTCTCACGGAGAACCGTCCTGTGACCAGCTCTACCACTCCAACCGCAACGTGATGCAGCAGCGACACCAAGATATGGTGAATCGAGAGACAGTCTTACACGCGCCTCCACGAAGCATCTTTGGAAGCGGAAGCGCTCCGTCTAGAGAACACCAAGCTCCGATCTTTGAACCTCCACCTCAAGAAAGAGCTAGACCAACTCATCCAATCATCTCTCCGCAACCGCCTCAGCTACGACAAGGCTCCGCTTCGCAATCTTTTCGTCGGAGAGAGGGAATAACGAGAATCAATAGGTTGCTTTTAGTTTAATTAAGTAGGGATAAAATAGTATTTTTCCCACTAAAATTTTAAAGGTAAAACTGATTAGTGTAAAATTGAAAATGTGTACAAGGAAAGTGGTATTCTTCACAAATTCCCAAGTATATAGAACATTTTAAACTTAAAGTATATATTTTCAAAAAAAATATATAACTATATAGGTCATAACTTTCAAATACAAATTAAACTATAAATATAATACCATAAACCACATACTTTGAAGACCAAACCTTATATCATAAACACTAATCCTTTCATTTTGAACTTGTAATCTTAAAATTTTAATTATAAACCATAAAATAAAATAAAAAGTTTAACTATATACATACATCCATTATTTAAATCTAAAGATTTTTTCTATAAATTGAAGATATGGTTATTGATATTGACCAATAAAATAGCTTAAGAATTTAAAACAAACAAGTTTAAAAGAAAAAAAAATAGAAAAATTGATATCTACCAATCAGATAGTTCTACTCGGATCACAATCTCTACCGTTGGATCAGAATGGACAAAGGTAATCCAACGCTCTATCTTTTCCTTCTTTTCTGCGTCTCTCTCAATCTCTTCTCTCTACAAATCTCAGAAGAAAAATTAATCTCTCATCTCTCTCTCTCTCTCTCTCTCTCTCTCTCCATGTTCCCTGTTTCGATCTCCTCTCCTCTCTCTCTCTCTCTCTCTCTCCATGTTCTCTGTTTCGATCTCCTCTCCTCTCCTCTCAGTCCCAAGGGTTTTTACTGATTCTAAAGTGTTAAACACAGATCTCGTCTTGTCTCGAGACTCACTTTCCTTCTGTTTCCGAAAGAGAGAGAGAGACAGAGAGATAGAGGGAGAGAGTTCGGTTATCTTTTGATTTGGGGATTTTCGATTAATGGTTATTTTGGATGCTAAAGCTACTTGAGCTAATCTGATTGCTGTTCCTTCTAGAAAGAGCAGTTTTTTTTGCAGGTTAGGGCATTAAGAAGATCGTTTGACCTCCTCACCACCACGACAGGTAAACTCACTCCCCCTTTCTTTTAACTGGTGTTTACAAATACTAGTTTCTGTTAAGTCTGTCGATGGTTTGTTTTTTATAACTTTGAGTTACTAATACTGATTCATAACTTTGTGTTTGTTGATGGGTTTGTTTCTTATAACTTGTGAGATGTTTGTGTTCTTGTGCTTATCATTGTTGTTCTTGTAGTGCCTTTTCTATTTTGCAGAGGAAATAATCAAAGGACTCTCCACTGTCTCAGGAAACCAACCAAGAAGGAAGACGAAGAAGAAGATGGGAGGAAGGCAGCGTAGTAGATTAGGTTTAGTTTTGGTTGGNTTGTGCTTATCATTGTTGTTCTTGTAGTGCCTTTTCTATTTTGCAGAGGAAATAATCAAAGGACTCTCCACTGTCTCAGGAAACCAACCAAGAAGGAAGACGAAGAAGAAGATGGGAGGAAGGCAGCGTAGTAGATTAGGTTTAGTTTTGGTTGGTTATTAGGTTTGGTTTAGGTAGGCTTAATTAATAAATCTGGTTTCTGTGTAAACCAATGTTAATAAATAAATCAATATTGATTATATTTTTTTTTTGTTTTTTGAATGTTTTGATTTTCTTATAATATTAATTTGAATGAAATTTTATTTTACAATTTTTTGTATTATTTTCAAAAAAAAATATTAAATAAATTTGTCATAAACGAAATGAACAATTACATTTTAAAAATAAAATGAAAAATTCAAATTTTGCTATTGATAGAACACTACAATAGTAGTTAAAACATGCTATAGTAAAATTTAAAAACTGCTATAGTAAAAATGTTATAATAACATTTTCGACAAGCTATTAAAAAGAATTACAATTGCATAATAAACAACGCTATTACTAAATTAATATCAATAGCGGTAACAAAAACCGCTATCTAATGGACCCGACCTATTATCGCGGGCGATGTTGGAGCGCTTTCTACAACGCTATGGTATCATACGATAGCGATTTTCGGTGCTATTAAAACCCTTATTTCTTGTAGTGAATCAAAGATCCATCATCTCGAACTCTTTCTTCATATTCTCCGTGAATGTGTTGATGATCCTAACATTGTTTCCAGTGATGATTATATCCTCCACATATAGACTCACGATCAACACATCTCCTCCTTGCTTCTTGATGTATAAAGCTGCATCATTCATACTTCTTTCAAACCCATTTTGAAGAAAATATGAATCTATCCTTTCATACCATGCCCTTGAAGCTTGCTTTAAACCATATAAAGCCTTGTGTAGCCTTAACACTTTTCCTTCCTTTCCTTGCTTCTCATATCCAGGTGGTTGTGTCACATACACTTCTTCCTTCAGCTCCCCATTGAGAAATGCTGACTTCACATCCATCTGATACAAGCGCCACTTCATCTGAGCTGCATATGCAAGTATGGCTCTTATTGTATCATGTCTTGAGACAAGGGCAAACGTCTCAAGGTAGTCAACACCATATGATTGAGAGAATCCTCTTGCTACTAGTCGCGCCTTATGCTTGATGTGATTGCCACTTGCATCGGTCTTGATCTTATAGATCCAATTCACACTTATCAGTTATCACATTCTTCTTCTCTGGCTTGTCTACTAGTTCCCATGTCTTGGTCTTCTCAATCATGGCGATTTCTTCATACAACGCCTTCCTCCATTACTTTATACCACACGCTTCATCATAAGTGTATGGTTCTTCATGTGCGTGAAGACAAGATTCTATTGCTTGAGCTGCCTCTTCAAGCTCTACTCTTGGTGCATTTTCCATGATCTCAACCATGGACTTAAACTTCTTTGGTGGCCCAGAATCTTCTTCATCTTCATCACTAGTATCAGGATCATTATTTTGAATGAAAACAGGGCTGGAAATACCTTTGGTTTGTGTTTGTTCCTCAGACGATTGATTGTCTTCCATAGACAACTCGTTAGGCAATTTAGAGTCTTCCATAGACATCTCTAATGTCTTCTTGACTTCTTCTAGCTTTTTTCAGTCTCACTTCTTGCTTTCTTCAAACTCTGCATCTCTTGATACTTCAATCTTCTCGTTCTCAAGGGTGAGAACTCTATAGGCTTTGGATTGATTGATATATCCAATAAAGACTCCAAGCTTTGCCTTGACATCTAACTTCCTTCTCTTCTGATCCGGAATATGTATGTAACATATGCTACCAAACATTCTCATGTGTGAATCATCTGGCTTGTGTCCACACCACTTCTCTATAGGAGTGACATCATCTTCTATTGCCTTTGATGGTAGACGATTTTGAAGGTATGAGGAAGTGTATACCGCTTCTGCCCATAACTTGACTGGTAAATCTTGTTCTGCCAACATAGTTCTAGCCATCTCCACCAATGTCCTATCATCCGCTCTGCTGCACCATTTTGTTGTGGTGAATAAGGCAAGGTAACTTGCTTTTTCATTCCTTCTTCTTCACAAAACCGGTTGAATTCATGTGATGTGAACTCACCACCACCATCTGACCTCAATGTCTTGATGGTACAACCCGATTGTTTCTCCACCATTGCTTTGAACTTCTTGAACAATGAGAAGGTCTCTGATTTTTGCTTCATGAAATATACCCAACACATGTAAGTATAGTCATCTAAGAATAGCAAAACTATAGGCTTCCATCAATGGATTGATGCTGCATTTTTCCACATACGTCTGTATGTACAATCTCAAGCTTTTCACTTGTCTTAGTTTGAGATTCCTTTGGGAAGCTTTTGCGTGATTGCTTTCAAAGTCTACACGCCTCACATGATCCCTTCCTGACCTTAAACTTTGGTAATCCCTTTACCAAGTATTTGTCTTGCATTTGTTGCAACCTTTTGTCGCCTACATGACCAAGTCTCTTGTGCCATGTCTCCATTTTTCTTTGCTCACTTGCGCTCATGGCTTCTTCTTCCTGAGCCGAACTCATCCTAATTCTGTAGCTCTTGTGAGTCATTTGGATATTCATTATCCTCCTTCCTTTTGCATCCTCTATGATGCATCTCTTCTCTTGGAAATTCACCCGATATACACTTGAAACAATTTCTGGAACACTCAACAAATTTTTTGCCAAACCCGGAACCAAGAATACATTCTTGATGGTCCTCTTGCCACCATTAGTCATGACGGTAATATCTCCTTTAGCGGCTGTCATGACTATGCTTCCATTTCCAATCTTTATTGAAACCTTAACACTCTTGTCAAGTCTTGAGAAGTAATTCTCCTCCTTTTTCATATGATTAGTTGCTCCAATGTCTACTAACCAGAAATCTTCCATCACAGTTGTTGCTTCACTCGCACTGAACAACATATGATCTTCATTAAAGTCTTCTTCTTCGAGACTTAAATGTGCTTTCTCCTTTTTCTTTGAGTAGCACTGATTTGCAAAATGACCTAACTTTCCACAGTTGTAACACTCCTTGTTACTTTTGTAATCCTTCTTAGGATCACCCTTTTTCTGTTTCCTAAAACACTCACTCTCATTGTGATTGTTCTTCTTGCAGAAACCACACCACTTCTTGCCTTCTCGGCGTTTTGAGTTGTCTTGTTTGACACCAGAATTTTTCTTTTTAGCACGAGCATCGAATGCTCTTTCTCTTGTACTTTCTTCTCTTACAGCCAACCTTGCTTCATGAACCTCCAAAATTCCGATCAAATCTGCCATCTTTGTTGAAGTCAAATCACTTGTTTGCTCCAATACACTGATTATGCTATCGAACTTGGCGGGGAGAGAGATAAGTATCTTTTGTATGAGTTGGATGTCTGACTTTAGTTCTCCATGATAAGTTAATTTATTTGCCAAATCAATTAACTTATCTGTGAAGACCTTGATGTCTTCATTCTCATTCATCTTTAGGTTTTCATATTCCCTTCGAAACGTTTGAAGTCAAATCAAACGGACTTGAGGAGAATCTTCATACTCTGCCTTCAATTCATCCCACACTTCTTTAGAAGTTGTTGCTGCTGCAACCCTAAAGAAGATATCATCCGATACGGCAGTTTGCAGAATTTGCAAAGCCATCGTATCGTTAACCATCGCTTCTTCTCTAAGCGATCTTACCCTTGCTGTCTCAAGAGTTTCATCCACTTGTGCTGGTGGGGTTCCCACGCCTTCTTAAACCACAGACCATAACTTCTGAGAATGGTTGTCATCTTAATACTCAAGAAGTCGTACTTCTCCCCATCAAAAATAGGGATCACTTGATTTTTCATCGTGAAATTTTCTTTTGATTATCAATATTACAAACTTCTCCTGATTATCAATATTACAAACTTCTCTCTTCACTGGTTATCAATACTAGAGTCTTCTGATTATCAGAAATTTGTAATCAAATTTGTAATAATATCACAGCAATTCTCTCTTTGCTGAATTTGTGAATATCAATATTAGAGTCGTCTGATTATAAGAAATTTGTATTCAAATTTGTAATCGTGAATTCGTGATTATCAATATCAGAGTTTTCTGATTATCAGAAACTTGTAAATAATATCACGGTCCCTTGTTAACGATGTGAATTTATTATCAATATCAGGATCTTCTGATTATTAGAAATTTATAATCAATATCACCATCGATGCCCTCTTCTCCTTCAATTTTTTTTTTAATTTTTGATTTCTCTGTGCCTTTCAACCGCAAGGCTCTGATACCAAGTTGATTCTCTGAGTGTTTACAATTTATAAAAAAAAAAGAAGAAGAAGAAATTTAAATATAACTAAGGTGCTCTGTTTTATGAAAGGAAAAATATAGTATAACTTTTATTGTATTACACTCAATTGTTGAATTGTTTTTTTGATACAAGACTCGATCTATATTTATAGAGAATGAACATGTGTTTTAAAACAACACAACTCTTTGTTGTAAAGACACAACTCTTAATTGTAAAGACATAACTCTTGACACAGCTTTTCATTTTAAAAGACACAACATGAAGAGTCACAACTCTTTATATAATAACTAACTAATTTAAATGTACTAATGAGAGATTTGATTATATAATTTAACACAAAACTATATACCTACAACACAGTTTGTTGTTAAATGTCAGTATTTTAAATACCGATGATTACTTTTTGGTCCGAAATTTATTGAGAATTCCAGACAAAGTTCCCACGTAAGTTCGACTTTGAGGTTTTCAGTAATTTTCCTAAGTAATTTCCTTCTGGAAAAAATTTAGGTTCAGTTTTTAGGGTGAACCTTTAAATTCACTTCCTAGGATGAACCTTTAAACTCACCTTATTTTTAATAACCAATTATAGTATCACATAGATTAATAAATAAAAATTATTAAATATTTTTAAAAAAACTAAGATATCTAAAAAAAATAATAATAACATCACTTTAAATGATATTAACACCGCCAACTAAACTCTAAATCCAAACCACAACACTAACCCCTAAACTTACCTTATACCCTAGAATCCAAACCTAGACTCTAAACCTGAACCCTTACCCTAATCTCAAATCATATACCCTAAACCCTAAAACCTAAACCCTAGACTCTAAACCCAAACACTATACCTTAAATCACCAGATCTTAAACTCTAAACCCTAAACCCTAGACCCTAAATCCAAACCCAAACTTTAGATCCTGAATTTAAATCATATACCCTAAATCAAAACCCTATATTTTAAACTCAAATCCCCAACCCTAAATCTAAACTGTAAATCCTAAACCCAAATCCTATACCCTAAATGTTTTGATTAATGTTAATATTGTTCCTTTAGAGTTTAAGGTTACAATTTAAGGTTTGAATTTATAATTTACAGTTTGGATTCATGATTTAGGGTCTAGAGTTTAGATTTAGGCTCTAGGGTTTAAATTCAGAATCTAAAGTTTGGTTTTAGGATTTGGGATCTAGGGTTTAGAGTTTAAAGTCTAGGGTTTGGGTATAAGGTATAGAATTTGGGTTTAGGGTTTAGATTTTAGGTATAGGGTTTTGGTTTAGGGTCTATGTTTGGGATTTAGGATATAGGTCTGAGTATATGATATAGAATTTTGGTTGAGGGTTACGGTTTAGATTTAGGATTTAGCTGGCGATCTTAAAGTCGTAAAAGTTGACGTTATTTTTTTTAACTATTTTGATTTCTTATAAAATATTTAATATTTGTTATCCATTAATCGATATGGCATTTCCTATTTGTTAAGATTTCTGTTATAATGTCATATTTTCTTGTAATTTGTGTAACTCTATTATGAGCTGAGTTACAAACTTGTAAAAATATATTTTCTTGTGTTTTTGCTCATTTCATAATAGAGCACATTTTTGTAAGGAAATAAACATGGACATTATTAGGAGTCAAAAATGATTCTTATGTGAATTTCTATTTGAGATTAATTTGATCCTGACCGAATGAGAAATCAGAAGAAGACATTCTCTCAAAGATGTTCTCTGACGCTGAGAATTAAGTAATTAACCTCCCTTCATTCAACAAACTGACATCTAAATTTTAATTTGGAAACGATAGTCCATGATTTAGACTTAGTCTTTGAACTTCTTTCCTTGCATCTTCATTTAGAACTAAGCAAAACAAATTTCACGTAGTTAGAAACACCAAAGTGATATATATGTTTATATAGTTTTTCGTAAGTTTAGCTCTTAGAAAGCTTGAGAATTCAGTAAAGAAGAGAGATTAAAAAGTGATAATTCTTCTTGTATACCCTTTAACCGTTCCCGCCAAAACTAACCGAGATTTCAGAAGAGAGACCTAAATTTAAAAGGAAAAGCTTTGCTAAATTTCAGGAGATCCAAATATGGAATAGCTTCGTTGTTTATCGTTGCCTTGTATGTTCATTTTCTCCATTTTCAGCTAAAATAAAACCCATTTTTCTCCAAAAAGTTCAAAGTTCCCCTTTTGCTTCACCTTCTGACCTCTTGTTTTTCTTTCTTTCTAGGGTTCCCAATCCCTCAATTTTGGGAACCTGAAAATCGACTTCTCACTTACATAATCATTTCTTCAGGTAAAAAAAAAAAAAACCCTTTTACCTTATTTTCTTGCAACCTACGGAACCTAACCTAAGTTATATGTTTCTTCCTTCAGAATGGGTCTAAAGCTCTCAAGAGGGCCTGGAAAGGAGAAATCAGCTCTAGAACTAAGGCCTCACATTCTGACCTACCTAACCACAAATTCTTACCTACGAAACTTGGTGTCCAAGAAACGAAGACGGTTAACCATGGGTGGATATGATCTCGACATGTCTTACATCTCCGACAAATTGTTGGCTATGTCATTTCCGGCCGAACGAATGAGAGCTGTTTATAGAAACCCCCTTTGGCAAGTCAAGTCCGTGCTTGATATGCGACATCATAATCACTACAAGGTCAATATGACATAGTCAATCATTAACGTTACATTAACAGATTAATCAAATCTCGTTTTGTTCAGGTCTATAATCTATGCATAGAGGAATGTTATGATCCAGAAAACTTCTATGGCCGCGTGGAAAGATTCCCATTTGATGACAACCATGTCCCAACTCTTAAAATGATCCAAATTTTCTGCGAAAGTGTTCATACTTGGCTCTCATTAGATCCCAAAAACATAGCAGTGGTGCATTGCATGGTATTCAACCAAAAATAAAAAACACTTTCTTCGACATTGTTGAACCATATCAGATTCCAATGTAACTTTTGCAGGCAGGAAAAGGCAGAACAGGGCTAATGGTGTCGGCGTACCTTGTCTATGGTGGAATGTCAGCTGAGGAAGCTCTTGAGATGTATGCAAGCAGAAGAACCACAAACAATAATGGAGTACGTCCTCTGCACAATAGAGAAAAGCTTATTTAATAAACCATCCGTTAATCTCTTGATTACTCCTTGACAGGTCTCAATACCGAGCCAGCGTCGTTACGTGAAATACTGGTCAAAATTACTCTCACTTGTTAAGAGAATTGGAAACAGACCTCCAGAGGTTAAATTACCTCAAGAACATAGCAGAGAGTTGCTGAGAATTAGACTTTACGATACTGTCAACGTTGATTCTGTCTTCTTTGTCGTCTCAGAACTTCAGGAGGTACTAATAACTACATTATTACCTCCGTCTACTGCTCCTAGTTGATATACATTTTGATGCAATGTAGACTATGTTTCTGCTTGATATATACAGTTTTTAATGTTTTACATACTGTATCTTCTTGATTTATATAGACTCTGATGCATTGCATACTCTGTTTAGACTTTTGATATATATATTATATATATATATATATATATTGATGCAAAGCAGACTATGTTTCTGCTTGATATATAGACTTTGCCTCATGTATCGTGGACTCTGTTTCTGCTTTATAATAAATTCAATGCATTGTATACCCTGTTTTTGCTTGATATATTCATTTTGATGCATTGTAGACTATGTTTCTGCTTGATATGTACATTTTGGATACTCTATAGACTCGAATTTTTCTTGATATATACATTTTGGATGCATTATAAACTCTGTTTCTGCTTGAGATATACGTTTTGATGCATAGCAGTCCCTGTTTTGTACGTCATTACATACTTTGGTGCATCACAGACTTTGTTTCTGCATGATATATACATCATCTCAGACTCTGTTTTGCTTATTATACACACTTTGATGACATTTCTTCTGATCATAGGTTCCAGATGATATGTATCCACCATCTGTTGAACTTGCAAGAGGTTGTTGTAGACAATTCAAGAAAGGTTACTGTAGAAGCTTGAGTCCACGGTATTATATATCTCATTCCCATATGAACTGTGATACAGAAGAAGATGAGGTGCTACCAAATATAGTAGAACCACGTCTTGTTGTTCAAATGGATACAGAGAGTTCCATCATCGACGAGAAAACATGTCTCGACTTCTACTTTGACAAACCTATCAGAGTAAGTCACAAAAATTACTTTGTCAAAAAAAAAAGTCACAAAAATTAATCTTTCAGGAAAAATAATCGAGAAGATGTCTGATAAGTACATGATTCTTGGATAGGTGAGTGGAGACATATGCATCACATTCTATCAGAAAATGATTGGAAGTCGTCTCTTTTATACCTGCTTCAACACAGCTTTTATAACCAATGGCTTGCTTCAGGTAAATTTCTCCAAATCTTTAATGCCATTTTTATTCTCCTTGAACATGTTTATCAATTATATTTTTTGTTTATGCAGTTTTCCATAGGAGAGCTAGATAAAGTTGGTGGTAATGGAAGATCAATATCTGGTCCTGATTTTAGCTTGGAGTTGCTTTTTAGTCCAGCCTGTTCTAAATCCGGAAAGCTTCTTTCCCGAGATGACCTTTCACTCCCTTGAGGTCTCTGTTTCAGCTCTTTCAAAACAAGAGCAGCTACAAAGAGTTATGAATATCTCAGATGATGCTGTAAAGACTTCAAAGGCTTAAAACTGAATTTCTCGTTCACAAATGAAGAGGCAAATGAGAAATCTTCAAACACTAGCAGCAAGTAACTAATGCAAATAGCACAAACATATAATTTTCTCAACAATCTTTTTTTTTTTTTGTAGCAGGGACTGTAATTTTGGTGAATGATAGACATTATCTTGCCATCCATTTTCTCACTAGGATGGTCTGTTTCCTGTTAAAGATTGCTGAATAAAGTTCTCATTGTTTTCACTACTCTGTTATTGAGTACAAATCTCTATACCAAGACTCCAAGAGTTAAGGAAACGATTTTATTACTATCAGAATACAACTTAACATTGAACTGTCTCATCGTGTCTGTGTCGTTGACAAGCTACTTGTGTGGAAAAATATAACTTAAAACAGAAAGGAAAAGCATGAGAAGAGATCTCTTTTAGTCTTGAATCTTGTTCTTTAAAATCACCTTAAGGATATGACATTGTCTTCAAGTGTCTGCTGGTTATCGGCTGAACCAAACACAGTTCCGGGTGTGTAGACTCCTCCTTTGACTAAGCTTTCGTGTTCAGGTCCTGAAATTCTTGTGATAGTTTTTGAAGATGTAAGATGTCTGTCCTGAATTAGTCAATGACATAGTTTCTGAAACAGATGTCGTGTTGAGTGGTGAAGACCATGTGGAGTTAAGATAATGAGCTGGAGTCGTTAGATTTGGAGAGCAAGGATCTTGGAGATATGGAAAGAATAATAAACTTGAAGAGCAAGTTTATGACTTAAAGAAAATGGAATAAATGCATTCCAAGAAAATCAAAATTGCACTTATTGATAGGGAAGATGTCCATACATGTTGACTTGAAGATTAGGATTTCACGAACGTCGAGAATAACTATAAGATAGCTATGGGGTCGTTTGTAGAGACAGAAACACGGAAGCCAATCTTATAGAGGGAGAAAGAGAAGCTCTTAGAAATGTTATTGGGTCATCTTGAAGTAGTGGCCGAAATATTTGACGGTAGAGAGACATACATGAGTAGTTTAGGAATCTTTCAGTAGCGTGTGTTAGGCTATTAACACTAGACGTGTAAAAGCTGATTAAGTAGATCTTGTAATAGAGTGTACAAGGCGATTTCTAATAAAGCTATTGGTGTTTAACTCTTAGTTTACCTTCAGGATTGGCTACAATATGTCTCTCATCCTGCACGTTCAGATTCATAGAAGAGTCTTTCAATCTCATCTACCTCTTTCTCATAATCATTCAGTTCAGTCTCAGAAGTAGCAGCAGAGATGACAACATTGCAATGGTCTCTCCCTTGTTGCTTAGAGGTGGAAGTTATAGAAGAAAACTGGTTCTCCAAAGCCCGGAACTTGTTGTTGAGGTCATTGTAACTCCCATCAATCTTGGCATGAAGGTTCCTCAGCTTATAACCAACATGCTTTTCACTTCTAGTCTGAGACTCCAAGATCTGTTTTAGAAGAGCATCAATGCTAGTTTCCTGAGGAGTAGAGGTAGAAGGGTTAGCTTGTTGTTGAGAAGATTGGTTTCCTTTGTTGGAGAAACCAGGAGGTGGGTTTTGTTGAGGCTGGTAGCTGCCTTGCTGATTGTTCATAGGCTGGTATCCTCCTTGTGGTAGTTGTTGTATCAAAAGTTGGGTTCCTTCTTGTACCAACTACCATTTGTTGATGAAACACAGCTCCTCTTGACCTTCTATTCCATCAACCTCATTTGTCACAGGTTGTGCTTCTTGGTTTGTGTTACCAACAAAGTTTAGCTGCTCTTGAGTAGCTTTTTCTGCAATGAGTATGTCTATCTTATCTTGTAGAGCCTTTAGCTCCTTCCTTGTCTGCTTGTCATCACCTCTACTGCCTCTGTCGTGGTCTCCACTGTAGACTGCGTCACTGTTAACCATGTTGTCAACCACCTCCTCTGCATCTTCCTCAGATCTTCCCAAGAAGAAACCATTGCTAGCAGTATCCAATCTTGCTCTGTACTTAGGAAGAGCACCTCTGTAGAATGTACTTACCAAGCTCTCCTTGAAGAAACTATGGTGTGGGCATTGAGCTTGGTAGGTTTTGAATCTTTCCCAGGCTTCACTGAATCCTTCCAAGTTCTTCTGTAGAAAATTGGAGATCTCATTTCTCAGCTTAGCAGTTCTTGAAATAGAGAAGAATTTCTCCAAGAATGCTCTCTTGCAGTCCTCCCAGGTGGTGATAGAGTCGCTGGGTAGAGACTTCTCCCACCGACGTGCCTTATCCCACCAAAGAGAAAGGATATAGCTTGAGCTTCAAGGCATCTTCAGACACACCATTGGCTTTGACAACCCACAGTAGCTGTCAAACTTGACCAAGTGATCAAATGAGTCTTTTACAGGTAATCCATGGTACTTGTTGTTCTCGATCACGTTGAGGAGTCTTGGTTTGACCTCAAAGTTGTTGGCCTCCACAGCTGGTGCCCTGATTTCCAACCTATTGCCATGAAGATTTGGGCGGTCATAAGTACCAATGGGACGTGCTGGGTGTGGTGGGTGCACTGGTGGGTGTTGCACGTTGTTGTTAATTCCGTGTGATGGGTCATCCATATGTGTATCCAACCTTTGTAGTTGGCCCTTTTGCTCTGCTTGTTTTCTCTGTCTTGCTATCTCTCTTTCAAACGCCCTGATATCTGGAACTCTTGGAACAAGGTTTGTGTTGCCTTTGCTCCTGAAGTTCATACACTTGAAAGCCAAAGAGAGATGAAGATGAAGAATCAGTAACAAAATAAAAGTAAAATGACTTAGTCTCAAGCAAGTGACTAAATCTCAATGTTTAAACTTTAAATCTACTCAGATTCTAGAAACGGTGCCAATTTGAAGTTAGGAGTCTTAAAAGCTCCTAAAGCAAATGTTGTAGTATAAATGATTGTCGAACCAATTCTAAGGGATTTTAAAGCACTGAGAATTCAAGTACTCACTTAATCTAAGTGCAATCGAATAAATGATGGTTTTGAAATATAACTAAGAATAAGAAAAGCGATAACTAAAATAACTTCCTTGATTAAGAGACAGGAAAACCCATGGGAGTAGGGATTAGATCTTAGGTGATCAAACTTCGAACTAAGGATGGTAAATGATCAATTAAACTATCAACCTTAAGCATAGACACATCTCTAAGCAAGCTCTATGTCTAGATGAATGCTCATTTACTAACATAACTCAAACATCAGATGTCTTTGGTTGAATGTTATCTATTAGCCATCTTAACACCTTTAACAACAAATTTCTTTGGTTATGTATGTTAAAAGCTTAGGAGAGTTGGCTCATGCATTTCAACGAACACCTTGTGAGGTGGGAAATGCCCAAAGCTCAACCTTTGAGAGCCAACTCAAAAGATGCATTAAGAATACTCTACTAGCAAGGAAGATAAATCTACACTAAACATCCTAGTTCTAGCCTAATCATCCTCAATCTCCCTAACCCATGAATTCAAAAGTGGATTACTCACTAATCTTCATGATTATTCTCAAACCTATATTTGATTCAAGCTTAATCATGTAAAGATAAGTAGATAATGCAATGAAATAAACATGATCACAAGAACAATGAAGAATGATTCATAGAAATGAACTTTTCCAAGAGGTTTTTGTGTTTTCTTCTCAAGATCCAAGATAGATCTGCCTCCAAGGCTTACAGAATACTTAACTTAGGTTTAGCAAATTTCAAAACATGAAACAAATGACCAAAAGGTCCTTCAAATAACACAAGTTTTCGTCACAAATAAACACGCAAAGACCTGGCCTTGTCGCTCTGAGAGGTCGCTGTGGGGCTGAAGCAACTTGGCCATGTCGCTCTGGGACCTCGCTCCAAGGCCTTCTTCGGCTTCCAAACACAATGAAAAGGCGAGCAACCTGTGTGTGTCGCTCCACCCGTCGCTCTGGGTTGGGAGTGACCTCGACAGGTCGCTCCAAGAGGTCGCTGTGGCTGTTCTCATTGTGGGGCTAGGGTGACTTCGTGGAGCAAATTTTGGATGTCGCTTTGCTGTGGAGTGACCTCAAGGAGTCGCTCTGGAACCTCGGTCTGGCTTCTGCTCGTACAAGAATCACCTCTAACTCCTCTTTTGGACATCAAATCCATACAATCACCTCCAAGAACTCCAAGGATACTCCATTACCTGATAAGAACTCATATATGCAAAATGCAACCGAGAAATGACTAAATCCTAGTCTATGTGATCAAAATGCATATGGGTGAATGGATAAAACAATGGAAGTATGCAAGACATCAATTACCTTATTGTGTTGCATCTTGCACTTACAATTGGTATCAGAGCGGGACACCTAAGTTATCGGTGTAATCCTGAAGGTGAATATGGATACGATTGTTTCGATGCAGGAGGCAATCATGTTGAATGCGGACCAGTATGGTCATTGAAAGGCTCGCATGAAGCAGGTGATTCGAGGAATCAGCCTACCATATTCACGGTAGATAAGAAGAAGCCCAAGCCCAAAAAGGATTGGTCAGAGGCAAAACACAATGCATCAAAATTTAATGCAAAGGCATTCAAGTACTTTTTCAAACATATTGGTTAGCTTCCAAGCTAAATCTTCTAGTCCCAAACACTGATCCTTGAGATTGTTAAGCATCACGTGATACTCCTCATCATCTGTACCAACATATGACTTTGAGGTTGAACATGAGGTAACAAGCTGAGAGAGGTTGCTACTGGCATGCATCAAAAGGGGCGGTCACACTTCGTGCGAGGGAGCACATCAAAAAGTGAAGCCAAAGATGTACGTCAGAAAGTGCGTCAAGACGTACGATAAGTAGTAAGGCATGAAGTTCTACAGCGCGTAGCTGTGAGTAACAAGCTGAAGGGAGTCCATCAGTGCAGCAACATGAAGGTCACACAGAAGGTTCTGAAGCATGGTTGTTCATCTGGTACAAGGAAGGAAACTGATCGGTGCATCA